TGGTTGGGAATTACAAAGGAATTATTTGTCAGTAGTTAACATTTCTTGAATACCTGTGATATATTAGTCACTGTACTAGGCTTTCTATATGTAATATTGTGGCATTTATGAGTGTATGTAATAAGCAGTATTGTATTATTACTACAAATGAACAAGTTAAATGGTATTGACTTTGAAAACATGTAAAAGGTAGAAAAGTATGTGTGCAGGCAATTAAAATATATAAAGTACTATAACATTGTTAAGGTTTAAACAGTGAAAATGTCATTGATTGACAAAAATGTCCAGTAGAAGGTTTTGCAATGATAAAGATGATTTATTCCTTTCTATCACTGACCCATATAGCTATATATTATATGGAAGTGTGCATAGTATGAAACTGAACTTTTAATATTATTTCATTTAAAATTTGAACACTTTGAGATAGAGTTTCACTCTGCAGTTTAGCTGGCCTGAATTCACTTTTGTAGGCTAGGCTGGTCTAGAACCCAGTGATCCTCTAGCTTGAGCTTCCCCAAAGCTGGCATTACAGGTCTAAGGGACCATGCCTCAGTTTAATTTAAATTTAAATACCTACATTCTACATTAGTCCAAGGCATATCAGCAGTGATTGAATTTATTGTCCCAGTTGAGGTAACTGAACAATTTGAAAAAAATAAACAAAATCCCACAGTTTTCAAGAAGCTAGATAATAATTTCTGAAGGACAAGGATCCCTGAGATTTGAGAAACAAATAAAAGGCTCTCTGTATACTAAAGCTTACAAGAAATACTAGGCAAGGGACAGAGGAATCACTTAGGAAAAGCCCAGAGAACTTTCTTAGTTAAGGAAATAAAAAAAGTCTGGGCAGACAGTGTTAGACAAAGTTCACAAAACAAGTGGGGAAGACAGTACTAAGCTCATTAAAGGTTAGGGTATGTATGTGAGGAAACAACCCCAGAGCCCCCCCCCCAAAAAAAAAGAAAAACAGCCTAAAGGATCAGACAGAGATCCTTAATGGAGTGATTGGCACTCGAACAACAGTAGAAATAGTATCTGTTCCTTTTAGCTAGCCATATTAAAAAAAAAAAAATCTCAAGAATTCTGTTGCATTGAGTAGAGTGCATGTAAGGTTTTATCTCAGAAATGTATAGTAATTAGCCCTAGGTTGAGCACCTCTGCACTACTTCTTAAAGTATCTTAAAAATAAGATGTCAAAAGATTAAATTGTGTCTCAAAACAAAGCTTAAGAAGTTTTTTTTTTGTGATGGAAAAACAAAGTAGTATCTATCAACATAAAATTCAAAATACTTGACATCAAGTGCGAAATTACAGTTGTGCAGTAAGAAATGAAAATTTGACTCATAATGAAGAGGTGAATCAGCCAGTTAATACCAAGGCAGATCTGAAAAAGATGTTAAAATTAGCAGGCAGGACATTAAACAAAATTATTATAAATCAGTAGTTTATAAAGAAGCTAGAGATGTGAAAAACAAAATAAAAACCCAAATCAAACTTTTGAAGATAAAAACTATAATGTGCAACTTGCAAAGTTTACTAGATAGCATCAATGGCAGATTATACTTGCAGAAGAAAGTTCAGGTAAATTTGAAGATGTAACAATAAAAAAAAATACAAAATAAAAGAGAAAAGATTTTTTGTTTCCCAAAATCAGTCATGGAACAGTTCAGGTGATACAAGTAGAGGCCCTGAAGGAAAGGAAAATGGGTAAGAAAAAAATACATGCTGAAATAACAGCTGCACAATGTTCACAGTTGATGGAAACTATAAACTCAGATGCAAAAAGTTAATCAAACCCTATCTAAGAAACATAATGAGGGCAACTTCAAAAAACGTAATCAAATTGTAAAAAGACATTAGGGTAAAAACAACTACTGAAAAATAATGATCCATCAACCTAAAATTCTTTATTTTTTCATTATTTTTTATTAGTGCATGTTTGCAGTACATAATGATTGTTTTAGAAACCTATACCTTGCAAGTGTATGTCTTAAAACAAAGTACAATTTCAGCCAGACACTTTTAAGGAAAAGTGCTTGAAAATAGCAGTGAGTTTATTTTGTGTACACGCGTGTGCGTGCACACACACACACACACACACACACACTGTAGATGGCAATAAGGGTAGAGATGGTAATATATTTTTATATGGCTCTCATACTATATGTTAAGAGGTATAATATTTGAATATAGGCTCTAGCAACTTATAAATAGGAACTATAACAGTAAAATAAGTCAATAAGAGAGAATATGAAATAATAATAAAGAAGTTAATTTCAAAAAAAGGCAGTTATGATGAAATTGGTATTTTATCACAGTGATAGAAAGCTTTGATAAAGAGGTAAAAGTGAAATCTTTTCTTAAGCATGTTTAATTAATTTACATAATTTTAAACATATTTTACGTTAAATTCCCATCTTTCTTAATGTAATCCAGAGACTTTGCAGTAACTGTTGATTTGATTGTCTGGCTTATTACTCGTTTTATTGTCCCTGCTAATGTGTGCTTCCTTGACCACTCCTTAAGAAACAGTCTCCATTCTTCTGCATTTGTCTTTTATCCTTCCTTATCTACTACTACATCTCATACCACTATGTGACATACTAATTTATTCCTTTACCTTATTTCATATGACTAGAAGTTAAGTTTCATGAAGGTAGAGACTTTGTTCATACTATATACTGTTGCAAGTTCTAATAAGTATTTGACACCTAGTAGGTATTCAGTAAACATTTGTGGAATGAATTGATGTCTTTAATTTATTACTCTGTATAGATTTTCACATCTTGATTCTCTGCTTTCTAAAAAAATCAGGTTTCAGTTGTTGAAGATTTGAAAATTTTTTAAGAAATGTACTTATTTAAAACTAATTTCCTTCCAGACTCTTGTCTCTGGACCAGGTTTTATCACTAGTTCACTCTTGTTAATAACAAAGCAAAAACAGTATCTAGCACTTCTGTAAGCATTATTTCATTTGATTCCTTTCATTAGTTCAAAGCAAGGGGTTATTCTCAATTTGTAGATAAAGGATCTAAACCTTCATAATATCATAAAAAGCATCTAAAATCATACAATACAATGGTTCCACCCTTCTCCTAAATTTGAATTTTTAAAATTGTTTTATTCTGTTTCCGATGTATTATTTGTAAAGATAAATTAGCAGTTTAATACAAGTGCAAATAAGGTTAGCATATGAGAGTAGTAAAGCATAGCAATAATTTTAGGAATAAAGACTTTGTGTATTTCTTTGGAGAAGGTAGAGAAGATGTGAAAGATCTGGAGGCACTTGCAAAGGATTTCAGGGGACACTGACCAATGCAAGGAAAACATGAAACATTGGAAATCTGGGAAGGCTGACATGACCCAAAGCGAACAGAGTAATGGAGAAATAAATTGAGTTTCATAGTCTGGATTTTGATCAGCAAATTCGAACTAGTAAACAAACTTACGTGGACTTTAATTTTAATTAATCCATAATTCAAAATTATTTAATCTGTTTTTTATTTCTTAAAACATTATGCATTCTAGATAGGATATTTTTAAAGGTAGTAGGAAGAAGGAGAAGTAGAGGGTAGAGAGAAGGAAGAGAAAGTCTGGTTATCAGGCAAAATTTTTATATAAATTATAAAAATTACTGTTGTCTAAATGTACATATTTGTTTAGTACTAATACCATTTTAGGGGGATGGTATGTTCGTATGTTTCTAAGCTATTCAGGCTATATTTACAATTCTTAGGCTAAGATTGTATATGTGTGAAGCTAAATGTATAATAGCGAAACTTACCCTTTCTTCAAGTTGACTAGTTATTTGTGTTGGAAATAGCAAAATGTTGGTTTTTGCTGTTTTTCAGTTTTGTTGTTCTCATAATTAGCCTTTTGTAGCTGAAAGTTTCTTCAATTTTTACTTCTCTGAGATGTGAAACCATCCACAATCTTCATGCTGACTTTACATCTGTTAATTTAAGAATACATTTTACAGCTTCTTTTTAGTATATAAAAACAACTTTATAGAGATTCACGTTGTTGGCATAAACTAAGCCTTTAATAGGATCTAGTATTCTGGATTCTTTCCTTGTATCATCCTAAAATATTTACGATAGTTTTGAAGGAATCTTCTTCAGAAGAATTCAGATTTAGTGTGTATTGTTGTGCCTGCTTTTAGTGGAATTTTAAAATAGCTAGTCTGTATTCCAGAAAGAATGATTTTGTTCTTAGGACGATCTTTACTTATTAATTATAATTGATTTCCAATTAGATTGTGTTTTACAAGTTACAAATCCTACTTGTCTTTATATAATGAATAACAAATTTGCAGGTTAATTCACTGACTTAAATGTATAAAATCTATTGTCCTTGTTGTGAAGTTACTTGCCTTTTTGAGTTTTCTGATAGGTAAGTTGAAACTCGCCTATTTCCATTTTTACTATTTTATTGATTCTACATATTGTGTGTGTGTGTGTGTGTATGCACTATACACATACATTTATGGTTTCCATATCCATGGATTCAATACACATGTTGATGGAAAATATTTAGAAGAAAAATTGCATCTGTACAGAATATGTATATTTTTTCCTTGATATGATTTCCTAAATAATATAGTGTGACATATGTTTACACAGTGTTTACATTGTGTTAGCTATTGTAAGTAGTGTATGCAGGAGGATATGTTTGGTTATATAAATAACATTTTGTATAAGGAACTTGAACATCCATGGAATTTAGTGTCTGTGGGTTAGGATGTATTTTTCTTGAAATCAATTCTTCACAGATTCTGACAGACAATTTTACATAAAATTTTATTTAATTATATAGTATATTATAACATTATATAGTTTATTTGAAAAATGAGAAATATTATATATGTATGACATGTGTTAAGACATTTATTATTTCCAGCGTAGGATTTAATAGAGATAATTTTGTTTTTATATGAGTAAGTCATACAGTTAATGATGTCAGTTTTCTATTGCATGTGATGAATTTTTTCCTTGTTATAGGTCCTTTTGTTCTGCATCACGGCGGCCATGTATATGTTCTTTTTCAGGTATGTTCTGTTATACTTACTTATTTTAATACCCAAAATGGCATCTTTTGTAGTTTTCAACCGTGAAACTAAAGTATTCCCCAAATAATTGTGCTCCACAAATGACATGTTTTTCTTTTACGTTTTCCTTCCTACTGTGGGTAAAGAATCTCTCATAGGAAAAAGAGAAAGAACTGGAGGGAAAGTTTACTTTTTTCCTCATATTTTATTAGCTATTAATAGCTAGTAATATTTAAATGAATTTCTTATGGACTTGATTCTACTTACTTTTTGTTTATGAAACGATCAGCACTTCAAATTTAAATTTAAAAAATGACTATAAGGTTCTATTTAAGTCTTCTGTGATGGTGACCCAGCATACTAGTCATACTTTTAAATGTCAAATCTATCTGTATTGTCAGAGTTGCACTTTTCCTTGATGTGATTCCTTTCTGAGGATCCTAGGGAGAATGTTAGCATGTCTTATGATTTGAACGTCTTATAAGACACTGTGTATCATCTTCATATAACCATACAGTATGGAAATATGATTTTTGATCAGGAAGAGTCCACCACCCCATAATTTTCATTTTCAGAGCTATCAATTGATTCCCATTTATATCCTTTTAGTAGACTCTTTTAAATAAGTGTTTGTTGATTTTTCTGGGTGCAGGCACAATCAGTCACAGCAAAAATGGTCAGATTTTTAAATGTTATACTTAATTTGCAAAAGTAATTACGCATTGTTAATAAAATAGATTTATTTATTTTCTAAACTGAGACAGTTTAGCCATAGCTGTATTTTTAAACCACTGCTTCCAAGTCTGAATATCTTAATAAATATTTGATGAAGCACAGTAATATGATTTAAAATTATTTTGACTTTTTCAAGAATATTATATTCAAATACAAATGCCAAAATGCTGTTATTCTTCTAAAGAGACAGCTAGGAGTTTATGGAAAAATATATACAGATTCTAGATAAGTAGAACTGATCTACAAAAATTTGTGGAATGCACAAATTTTATGTTAGTCATTGGGGCCTTAAAAATTATTGGAGCTGCTACTAGTTTTTGAGAATTTTTTTCATGGAGTTCTCAAGATCAAATCCAGTAAATGAATGCAAAGCAGCTATCTATTATTGATTCTTAGTCTCAGGCCCAAATTTTACAATATATTAGTCTTGCTATATCTTCCTGCATACTCTAGTGTTACACTGCATCTGTCTTGTATACTATGCACTAAACTATAGTCTTCTATGTTTTTAATACGTTAGGAGTAGATTTCATCATTTCCATTTCATCATTTCCTCCTAAAACTTTTAATTATATTCATATATATCATTAGGACAGTACTACTAAAGTTCACATAGTTTCTTTTTATGTACTGTTTATGCTGAAGACACACTCTTTCCACTCCGGGAAATACAATCATAAAAATTACAAAATTAGAAACACACTTTTGTCGACATACATAGGAGGAAAGTATACATCACATAAATTTTCTTTGAAAATTCCTAACAGAACAGGTAATAAAATGAAATAATCTTTCCTAATGTGGCACTTAAAAACAAAACAACATATATGTGCTTAATGTTTAGCATTTCTTAGTCTTAAGAGGTGTTAAGGTTTACAAACAAATTTTGTACTAAATTCACTAATAAATGCCCAACTTATAGAATGCTTCTAGAAATCTGTAGTTTGAAAATTACTGCCATCAACCTATTATTTTTGGTGTAGAAAGAAAATTAGCCCTATAAATGTGTCTATGGAGTCTTTTCCTGTTTCAGTCACAAAGTCTGGGTTAAAAACAACAGTTTAAAACACTTTCCAGAAAACTCACTACAAGGTTTAAGTGCCAAGAAAAACACTCAATTTTATGAGGAAAACAGGTTGTTTTTCTCTGCCATACAGACACACACATAAAAACAGTATCACCAAATTCTTAGTGTTTCTGGAGAAGTTAGTTTGAATAACTCAAAAGAGATTTGGTGAATGGTAAAGTAAAACCATTTATGAAGTACTACAAGCAAATAAAACAATGTTGCGTGTTTTTCTGAGCTCTAGCTTATATTTAAAATAAACAAGCAGTGTTGTACATAGAACCTGGTAAAGTCCATTGTACTAAAATATTTTATTTTTGAAATTAAATTTTATTAAAAGTTCAGATACATATATTAATGGACATATTCAATTTGTTAATTATTACAAACTTAATTGTATAAAATTTGATAATTAAATATCAAATGTTACTGTCCTCAGGAACCCTTTTATGTTGGTCTCTTTTGGCAAGAGGACAAACAAAAGAATAGTATCTTCAAATGAGTCAACTTGTGTTTTTTTTCTAATCTGTAAATGGTAAAAAGAGAAGTAAGACCCCTTTCATAGAGAGAAAATTTACCAGTGTTTTGTTTGTTTGTTTTCTTTGTTTTGCTTTAATGAACTTTAAGAAGCAGTTCCATAATTATTTCCTAAAAGTGTCACTGGCTGTGATGGTAATAGTGCAAATTTATTTAAAAAACAACACAATATTTTTGATATTGAAGACCATATTTAACAAAATGTGTAGTGAAATATTTTACTTTTGCAAAACTCTTAATAGTTTTATATAGTGTTCATATATCTCATACATAGTGACTGGTGACCGATTTTCAACTCGCATATCACAAAACAAAATGAAATTTTAAAAAACATTAAAATGGAATTTTTGGAACACTTCAGAGGTTTGGGAAGGGAGTGATAATGTATGTAAAGAGAGCTCTAGTTTTGTTCTACTTTTTAGCCTGTTGCCCTGACACCATGTCATCAAGTTATCTCTTGATACCTGCACTTGCTGTGGACCTTGTTAGGAATTGGGGTACAAGGCAGGATGGAACATATTTTGAAGGCTATGTGAAGAAAGCCCTTTGGTATACTCCCTTTGGGCCTTGTACTTTGGGCTCTCTGCCTCTGTTCAACTACTGTCTAATTCTGTGTGCTTTTGTCATAGCTCTGTGTTAGGGCATTGTCTGCCACTATCAATGCAGACCAAGCAGAAGTTACAGCTAAAGTTTTGATAGAGAATTTTGCCTCAGGTACCTCTTTAACACACTTCTTTACTTTTAAATACTTATAGATAAAGCAGTCTTCTTGAGTCAATTTTGACCACTATCTCTCTTCTTTTTTTAAAAAAATTTTTGTTAACAGTAGTGGAACTCGGGACCTTGCACTTACCAGGCAGGTGCTTATTTCACTGAGCTATATCCTCGGCCCCCTCTTCTGTTCTAATAGAAAATCAGTGGAAAGAATCAATAATACCAAGCACACAGTAAAACTTAATAGAATTTAATCCTGATTAAGAAAAAAAGAAAGACCAGAAAAAAAGAAATGAAGCACTTTTAAAGCATGATCAATTTTAATTTCAGTGGTATATGTGTATGAAGAATAGCAGTATTTTAGAGAAAGGAAGTAATTCAGTGTCATTTCATAAAATTAACTTAAAATAGACAGGATTCTGGTGTATATTACAAATTTGATCCCAACCTGGTCCATACTAGCTAGAAATTCTTCTCACATGTCTTTGCAGTATCAGCAACAAATTTAGCAATTTGTTTAAGCATGTAGATTGAAAAGCTAACGTTTGTCATAGCATGGAGAATTGATTCATAATAGGTGTGTCTTAAACAATCTGATGTCACCATGGAAAAGCACTGTAGTGTTTTTTTTTTTTTTGTCAGAAAGCAGTTGCAAATGAAAATTCACTGTTGCATTTTGAATCTCCTTAGAGTATATATTTTTTGCCATTTGATGAATTCTAGTCAACTCTCTGTAAAGGTACAAATAATAAAGCATTTCATTAATCTTATATAGATTTAGTTTGTATCTAAGAAAACATACAGTTTATTGCTAGACAACCTGCAATTCTTGAATGCAAGGCATTTGTGATTGTTGTTGAATATCTTCCCTGAGTTTACCTTAGTATATTGAAATAATAACAAGTAAAGAATTTTTTTTCTTGGTCTTTTACCTACTTACTAAATTTATGTGAATGTCTAAATATCGATAGGTTCTATTTTTAAAAGTATTGCTTAAAATATATCAAATGGTTCTCTAAAGCACCTTGAGTATATGTAAACTTTTACTTCTGATTTAGGAGAATTTTCTCTATAAAGAATTAAATTTTATACAGAGGATGAATTGGGGATTTGGAAGGCAGGCATAAGTCAGGTAATGGGGCGATTGTGTTGCTGTTACCCAGAAGAGTAATAGTGAGAGCTTGTGTGTTAGTCAGTTTTCAATGATGACAAGTATCTTAAGCTGGATAATGTATAAAGAAATAAGAGTCTGTTTAGTACACAGTTTTGGAGATTGAAAGTCCAAGATTTGAACAGTTCCATCAATTTGGCCTCTATTAAGGATTCTTTGGACTGGATCACCACATAGAAACTGGTATCATATGGGACCATAAGCAAAAGGAGAAGTTTACATGGCCAAACTAGAAGCTACAGAGCAAGAGGGGGCCAATCTTGTCCTTCTATTTTTTTTAGCCAAAAGACCAAGAAGCAATAACAATCTAACTCTTTTAAAGTAACTGTCTCATGAGTACTACCAAGATCTCACAAAAATTACATTTAGATTCTATTATGTTTCACATGGATACAGCAGGAATAAACTTCTAACAGGTGAACTCCTGGGGAACAAATCACATCCAAACTATAGAGACCTGACTGAAAATTATGTTGGTGATAGTGTGGATTTATAGCTACATGAATGCCAAAGATGGTGCGGGGACCCCTGCTGGAATGGGAGCCATAAGGAAAGAGAGAAAATGTGTAGAAATAGAGTATGTCTTGCATAGTCAGGTGGGCAAGCTTTTAGAGCATCAGATATGGCTATCAATTAATGGATATTTTGCAGCTTGGGAAATACATCTGGGTTCAGGAAATAAATCTAGGGCACAAGAAATAAATATGAGGAACTATCAGCATATAAGAAATGTTTAAGACATGCATGAAGGTAGTATTCTGTAGTAAGAATATGGAG